AGCGCCCATCAGTAGAGCAGTGGACAAAGAAAATGTGGTTACATATATACAAGGGAACATTATTTGGCCATAAAAAAGAATGAAGTCTTACTATTTGCAACAGAATGGATGGACCTAGAGGGTGTTATGCTCAGTGAAATAAGTCAGACAGGGGAAGACAAGTACCATATGATTTCACATGTATGTGGAATCTAAAGAACAAAATAAACAAACAAACAAAACATAAACTCATAAATCCAGAGAACAACCTGATGGCTGCCAGATGAGAGGGGGGTTGGAGAGTTGGGTGAGACAGAGTAAGAGATTTAAAAAAAGAACTGAATGTCCTCAGGGAGAATAGGTCTTTAATGGGAATATAAAGTAAAGGACCAATGGCCCTCCATCCTCGCTAAGCACTTGCAAAAAAAGAAACAGGTTTGAAGAATCAAGTTTGAGTTTAATTTTTTTTTTAAGCAGAATTTTATAATAGTGAAGAGAAAATGCTGAAGTAAAACATGAAGTTACCTTTCCTGGTACCCTGGTAGTTTTTTTAGAATAAAAGATGGGGGAAGGGGGACAGAGACATATCTATTTGGATCTATTTCACTCTGCTTCTTTGAGGTAACAAAGGGGTGGATTGCATTCACAAATTCACTCAACAAATATTTACTGGGTGCCCCCTATAGTCGGGCAATGTTTAGGTGACAGAAGAGAACAAACCAGGCAAAACAGACAGTAAACAGACAATGGATGACCTATCTGTCAGATAACACTAAGTACTATAGAGAAAAACATACATGGGGAGGGAATGGCAGGAGGGGGTGGGGGTGAGAGTGGGTGACTCTTTAAATAGGGTTGTCAGGAAGACCACATGGGGAAGGTGACCTTTGAGCAGAGCCCCCAGAGCCCAGATTAGAGCAGATTAGCAGAGAGCAGAGAACATTGCGGTGGAGGGAAAGCCAGTTGCACGGCCTGCAGGTGAGAGCATATTTGGCATGTTCCAGAGACAGCAAAGGGTAAGGAAGAGGCAGGAAATGAGGTCAAAGAGGATGCTGAATGGCTCAGCTGTGTCATTCTTAAATTTTATGATTCAATTCCGTACCTAGGGAACATTCCTACACACCAGAAATAAAACCACGCTTCAGGGGAGATATTTTTTTTTTTTTAAATAAAAGTGAATATGGAAAATTTTCAGTAATCAACTCTCTCAGGGGACAACCAATCTCTTTCTGCCTAGTGTGATATTTTTCAGTCTCTTCTGCTAAATCAAGCCATGGGCCACCAACAACTATGTGCAAATGATGACGTTTTCATGGAGGCATATGTCTCCTCGAGCATCTGTCAAAACCTAACACAAAGCAAGAAATGAAAACTACTAATTGAGGAGTCAATGGGGCAAGTTTAGCATATAACTCTAAAGAAGCATGACGTCACCAGCTACGAACACAGACCCTGAAGCCCTGTCCCCAGGCTCATGTCCCAGGACAGCTTTTTACTTCGTTCTCTGGGATTTTCAGGGCTGGGGAAGCAGCTCGGCTGCAAATGCTGGGTGATGCCTGCAGACAGAGCAACAGAAAGGCCAGTTCCTTTCCTTCCTTCTCTCTCCCTCTCCCCGCCCCCACCCCAGAGCAGACCATGCGGATCAAGGCTGGCATCTGATTTCAAGTTGAGGTTCACACAGCTTGCTCTTTGTGGGGACTCCTCACTTCCTGACATCAGAGGGCGCCGGTTAAGACCTCCGTGTGCTGAGTCACCAGCTAGCTGGCTGCACATTCACTCTCGCATTTAAAGCCCTTGAGTGGAGAGCCCAGCTCCCCAGGGTAAACTGAACACCAGGACCACCTGGAGAGCACCTCCAGAAGGGGATCCTATAACCACCCGGACTTAGAACAGAAAGGGTGGTTTTAGCTTCTCTCTCCTTGAGGAAATTAGGCCACACAGAAGTCCTTACAGAAACCTGCGCCCTTGTCTCCACAGGGTACTCCGCCACAGCGCCCACCCTGCCTAATGACTGCTCTGTTTATTTTACATATAACAAAGATATTAGAAAAGTCTAGCCCTCAAGGAGCCTTTGGGATTCAGCCCTAGGAGCCAAGAGAGGGCTGCTGCCCAAGGCCCGGTCTTTGTGGCAGACAGATTTTGGTGAATTAGTTACCAAGCTATACAAATTGGACAGTTTCTTAAAAACCTAAAATTGGAGATGCTCCTGAAAACTTAAAAGGTCTGGCAACACTGAACCAATTGGCCTTCAGACAGAAGGTGCTGGAAGCCCTGCTCCCTGGGTCACCACCCACCAGCCATCCCCTGTGTGCTACCTTCTTAGTTCCTGTCCCAACCCCCTGAGGATGCCCCAGACCCCTATCTAGTCCAACCACTTCACCCTACAGATGAGGAGAGCAGGTCTGAAGACGTTTTTTTTTTTTCCTATTTATCTTCAGGTAGGGAGAGAGGGAAGGAAAGAAAGAGAGAGAAACATCTACATGAGAGGGGCACATCGACTGGTTGCCTCCTGCACAACCCAACCAGGGCCGGGGACAAATTGCAACCGAGGGACATGCCCTTGACTGGAATCAAACCCAGGACTCATTGGTCCACGGGCCGACGTTCTACCACTGAGCCAAACCAGCCAGGGGGATCTGGAGACTTGAATGACTTCCCCAAGGTCACTCAATTAGGTAAAATCCAAGCAGGAACCAGATCGGGGTCCTCTTCCCAAGATATCCCCGTTCCCTGAGCTCCAGACATGAGATAAATCAGGCCACATTTGAAGCAGTGTCTCAGATGATATCGGCTCTGAAGTCCTTTTAATTATAAATCATCACTGGAAACTAATGAAGCCATCAAAGCTGTGATGCTGTTATAGACCAGAAGGGCTGGGGGAAGTCTGACGAGGAGATAAAACATTTCCAGAGGGTTTTAAATATAAGTAATCTATATTTAAAATGTCATGATTTTAGTGAGTAACAGCTAGGCAAAGCAAGCCTGAATTGAAAAATAACATCCTAATTTAACTATAGTGAATAAATTAGAAATGACATTTCTTGCCTTTTTTTTTTTTTAGAGTTTTTTGAATGCAAGAATTCTTCCCATAATGACATTAATTCATGGTAAGACATATAGTAAAAATAAATGAGTAATTATTGAGGCCTTTCAAGATTCTTTATATCCAGAGATATTATTTTCCTCATAAGGTAAATTTACAGGCCATAAAACATGTTTGTTTACTCGGGTAGAAGTATTATAAACGTATGTATAATGCAAAAGTATGTTGTCACTAATGACCCTGATGTTCATTTTTGTTCTCACTGCATCAATTCAGAATAGAAATTCATTTTTCTACATACCACTGGCTTATCATTGTAATTCCATCCTATTTCCCCAGAAGCTCCAATTCCACCTACACCATTTCCACAAACCTGTCACCTAGAAAGGACTTAAAAAGAAACCAAAATATAGTCAATAACATTGTAATAACTATGTACAGTGCCTGGAAATATTAGGGTAACACTTTGTAAAGTATGATTGTCTGTCCACAATGCTGTACACCTGAAACCAATACAAAATAATATTGAATGTAAGCTGTCATTGAAAAGGTAAAAAAAAAAGAAAAAGAAACAAAATATTTCTTTGAAAAACTATGTTATCTTGAAAATGAACCCCCATACTTCTCTCAAAAAACAAAAAAAAGGTACTAACTAGATGGTGATGTAGGGATCATTGATGTGACAAGTGAAACACGGTTTACTCCTTCTTTACCACCTGAGCAGCCATCTAAAGCTAGGAACCTGTAACATCGGCTAAGATGGTCTCAGTGAAATGCTGTTCAGTAATGCTGTAATGTCATTTGAAAAAGCAGTGGCTAAAATTAAACTATCTCTTGGCAGAAATTATTGTAATACTTTGCATCACATACTGTGACAGACAGTGTGTCTGTGTGGCTCAGGCAGCCCTCAGAACGGAGCTGTGTTCACAATCGGGACCAATGTCCCAGGCCACACGACGAAGGTCGAATGGGAGCAACCCAGAAGTCACCGCTCAAGTTCAAAGTCCAAACTTCTCCTTGCCTTCCTGTCTTTGTTTTTTTAAATCAGGGCAGGAAGGAGGTGCTCAGTGGTCGGGCAAAGAAAAAGAGGGCTCTACTTTGTCATCTGCCAGAGTGGGTTTTCTCCCTCAACTCCCCACCACCCTCAGGGTCAAGGCCAATTCCTCCCCAGCTGGAGGCGGGGAACCCTCCTTAATTGCAGGAGGGAGACGGTTAAGGCCATAGGAAGGCACTGCTCTGCCAGGGCCCAGGTGACGGCCTCCGTTCTGGCAGCATTTTGTTCTAACCTGAAACATAATCAGCTTCCTCACTGCACAGCTCAGGAGTCAAATGCAGCTAAAGGGTTAAACAAATTCCTTGGAAACAAGACAAGGAAAGCTTCCTGGAGCTGTGCAGGTGCAGAATTACAGCCTGCCACAGCTCATCATGCCAGAATCCCAGGTCTCAGAGAGAACAACGTTTGGCTTTTCTTATTTTGCCATTTTAAGAAAGAAAGAAAATAAATTTTCTGCTCTCTGAGCATGGAGCACACAGGAGATGCTCTCAGTAAATATTTCTAGAATGGTCAACACAGTTTTATTAGATTTTCTTCCTGCCTGCAACACTAGTCTGGTATCAGAGTTTCTTCCCATCTACAACTCCAGCCTGATATTGAGATGCCTTAGTTCACAGACGGCCAGTTTAGGACCAGGTCATCGGACATAATGACTAAAGGACTATGTCCCCTTGTGGGAGTCAGGCCAAAGCCTGCTCTGTCATTAAGTCATCTTACTCAACAGCACAAATTCACACAGTTTAGAATTCCACAAATAATGAAATTGTTAAATATCTGATGATCGTGCAAAATGCAAACAAGAAATGTAATCTTTTCTTAGCCAACAGAGGGAAAGGCCAAGGTATGCAAGACACACAGCAGAACAACGTGTTCCCTCCTTTTTATTAAATCACACACATCAGTACAACAGAGGTCAAACCCAGCTCAGTGGAGGGCATTCAAGCTACACCTGCTCAACGAATAAACCTGTAAACGGATGCTTTTATAGCCCAAATCAAATGAAATAAACCAATAAGAAGGCAGCAGCGCCCTTTAAATATCTCAACAGCCACATCTCCATGCACCAAAAAGGAAAACACAACATACAAATTTCCAGTGAAAAGAAAATACGGTGGTTCCCGGAAGAATTAGGTTGTGCTCTGAACAGGTTCCACTATCTGACTGAGCGAGCACTTCTCCATGTTAACATTTGTGAATTTGAGATCTGTGAGATTAAAAATGCATTGCATTGCTTGAGGTTGGGAAATGCAGGCACAGTCTGTGCAATTCTCTTCAGTCTCCTCCCAGCCAACTGCAAAAAGAGACCTAAGCTACAAGTAGCTCCCTCCTAACTAAGCCAGAACGGCCAGTCTGGTCTGGCAGACGGCAGCCGTTGGTCCTATGAACTCAGGGCTCCGGATGGTCTGTGTGTACATCCACCTTTCCTGCTGTAGGAGGCACAGAGTTAGTCTTCTTTCTTGGATAAAGCTGATCATCTGATTTGTCAACGCTTTGTTCAGGAATATAAAATTCAATATCCCCCCACAAGAATATTATTTATTCAACACCTTAATTGTCAAAATATTAACAAATAGCATCATGTTAACATTGAGCATAGTGGTTTGGAAAATTAATTCTAAAAATAGAATGTAACTATACAGAGAAAAACAGCCCCAAAATACTAAATGTTAGAATTCCCTAAACTTTGAGGCAAAAATGGAATCATTCTTAGATGGATAGGTTTACAAGGAAAATTAGGCACAGTACAAACCTATCAGCAAGTGTTGGTTTATACTATTTTCATTTAATGTTTGGAATAAAATTTAACAACTACTTTTTTTAAAACTGCTAATACATGTCATGATAAAAAAAATTAAAAAAGAAAAGTAAACCAACAAACCTTCAGTCTTTCAACAAAATTTATCTGGAATTGTACCTTTTTCCTCTTTATGTTACTGATGACTTTAAGGTGATGTTGGCAATCGCCCAGCTCAGTTGGGATTGTAAGCTGTTCCCTCCCTCATTCTACAGCATCAGTTCTTTAAAAAGCTCCGATCTCCGTCCCCCACGGTCTATAGGGCTTGCCAAGGTTTGCTGCCTGCGTGGGTGCTGAAGGACTCAGCGCATTGGGAGAGAGTAAGTGGAACGAGCCAAAAGAGAAGGGGAAGGCGGACAGGGAGGCCACGGAGGAGAGCAGGGGCGGCGACAGTTTGGAGGCGGAGGTGACCACGGGGAGCACCGGTCCAAGGCCGCCGCTAGGGGGCGCTCGCAGGGCGGGCACCTCGGGATGAGCCGCGGCCAAGCGGCCCTGATGATGCGGGTCCGTGGGCGAGGCCGCCGAGCCGGTGTTCCCGTGGCCGTTCTGGGGCAGCAGCACCGGGTGCGCCACGTGCGGGGGGTGTCCAAAGGCGCTCCCCCAGGGAAGGTGTCCGAGGCCCGCGTGCGCGCCGCTCGCCGCTTCCCGCTGGGAGGCGTAGTTGTTAAGATGCGAGACCAGTCGGACTCGAAGCGGGTCGGAGGCATCCAGCCCTTCGATGATGCTCAGGTAGCGGGCGACCTCTGCCAGGCATTCCCGGAACCCCAAACTCCGATAGTCCATGGCCAGGGCGTGCGCGTCAAAGTAGCCTGGGGCAGAGAACAAAAGAAAAACCTCTAGGCTTTGCTCACTGCCAGCCTTTCTTCCATCCCAGAGGCAGCCCTTCCCGGCAAAGACCTACATCCTGAAAAGACGGCATTCATGGACTCTTCTGAAAGTCCAAACATTATGGAGTCGAACAAAATCTTTGCATTAATCAACATGAGACCTATATGTTCGCTAATGCAAGTTCAAAGCCCAATTAGAAGCTGCCGAGCAGAAATTAGAATTGTACCCTACCGGCAGATGAAACTATGTTCGTTCCTTTAATGTTTTCCCTCAACAACAACAAAAAATACATCAAGGGCAGAGAAACCACAGAGCAGTGAAATTCATTAGACACACAGATGTAAGTTATCATCATGGAGCTTTTAGGCACTTGGTCCCGAGGAAAGCATTTCCCGCCTGGAGACAGACACACAGACCCTGGTCCCCCACTTTCCTTAGGTTTTCGCTGCTTAACCACAACAGGTTTCTTTCCTCAACAGTCATGTGGCAACTCATTTTTTTTTTAAATCCTGTATATAAAATTAAGACCATATACTTTTTTAAAAAAGCTTTCTTCTCAAAATGGCAATACACAAATGTGGTGAGAGCTACCTGATCTTCATCAGGGCTGTCACAATTTTAGGGCACCTCACACATAACAGGCATTTTCTAAAAGAAGGTGCATTAGCTCAATGTGCAGAGGCTTGGGGTGATTAATTCACTGGAGAAAAAGACCTCTGTGCGTTTCAAAATGCACAGACAGGCAACCGGCACACACCAGCATTGGTACCTCCCCACCCCCAAAGCACACCATAAAAATAAGGCAGCGACTGAAAAGATCCTGGCCTGCCCCGCAGCTCAATCTGCCCCAACACTCTGGGCCCAAGCAAGGGACTAGTGACAAGTACCTTTCCCTCCTGCAGTGTGCAGCATTTTCAGGTGATCCACCGTCATCTGCAGGATCTCGGCTTTTTCTAGCTTAGCAGATCCCTGGAGGAGGGAACAGCAAAAGATTGATTTGGCACAATGTGCCCTTGGGGAACAACTTAAAATACATATGCGTATTTGTGCTTTGTACATCCTAGCAGTACAGACTAAGGCAAAATGAGTTGTCTTCGCAAAATGTGTTGGAATCTCTATGAATTCTTCTACTCCGCAGAAGAAACACGGTTATTTTCCAAGACACGGATGGGGTTGAGATGAATGACTGGGAAGGAATCAGAAGGTGTGGATGGCTACACTGGGCGGGCACTCTACTTTCTCCATTACCTGCTTCTCAAAAGCACTGGGTACCAGCCTCCTCAGCTCAGACAAACTGTTATTGATCCGATCTCGTCGGCGCTTCTCAATGATCTGCAGAAAGCAGGCAAAACAAAAGACATTTCCATTAGGGCTGTAAATCCCGAAGTGAAGAAAAGTGGTTCTTTCCGTTCATTAATTTTTTTAAAAAGAGCACTGTAAAAAGACTCACGCCTCTCCGTCTTTTCCTGGCCAAGATCTGTGAAGACGTAGTTGGGGACATGGAACCTAGGGCCGAACTCAAGTTTCTGAATGATTGGGAAAAACAAAACAGGAATCGCCGTTAGGCTAGAGTAGGTGATCTGAGGGGTCGCCCCTATGCTCTCTCTGCACTCTGACAATTTAGGTCTGAGAGACCCTAGGGGTCCCTCACCTCGAGATGCGCAGAGGTCAGCTCAGGGCACAGGGGCGCCCGCCCTCGCCCGCTGTCACTACTGCCAGCCCGCGCTCGCCTCCCGCTCCGGCCCCGCTCTGCCGCCGCCAACTCACCCATTCTCATCCGCGCTCTCCTTTTCCACCTCGATGGTCTCATCCAGCTCGCTGTCCGAGGAGCTGTACTCTGGGTGGGCTCGTTTCATACTGACTGCGCGGCGGCTCCGGGGAGGGTCGGCGCGGGGGGCAGGGAGGAGTTAACTGCAGCGGCGACTCTCCGCGCTCCGCTGCTCGCGTTCCGCACACACTGATCCCGCTCACGCTCTGCCTCCGGTTAAAACTCAACCATCCCTTTCCCACGCTGCGCCCCTTCCCAAGGCCTTGGGGAGGGCGGTGAGTGCAGGGGGCGGGCGAGGGAGCGGGGGCGGGACGGCGGCTCCCAGGCAACAGCCTCCCCTCCGCCAATCCGGCTTCTCGCTCCGCTGATTGGCAGCCGCTCAGGGGAGGGGCGCAGGCGAGGCTTAGGACCCGGGCGAACCCCGCGCCCGCCCCCTGCGCCAGCCCCTGCCCCGCGGCGGTGTGTCGGCTCCGCGGGGGCTCTGCCGGCCGCCGCTGGTGGGAAGGAGGCGGTGCGGGCGGGGGAGGCCGGCTCGGGACACAAGAGAGCCGGCGGCCGCGGCCCCGCCCCGCCCCGCGCGCCCCGATTGGCCTGGCCGCGCGCCAGGGCCGCGCCTGCAGCGCCACCGGTGAGCCGCACGCGCCGCGGGCCGTGGGAAAGTGCCGGCGCCGCGGCCGCCAGCCAATTGGGCGGCTGGCGACGGCGACGGCGGCTGCGCTGGCGGCGGCGGCGGCGGCGCTGGGCGTCCGCATGAATGGAGAAGAATGGGCGGGCGGGGGTGCGGGGCCGTGCGAGGGCGCGTCGGCGGGGGCTGGGCGGCCGGGCCCCCCGTGTGAACCTGTAATCGGAATCCGGGCGCCGAGCGGCCTCGGAAGCCGCCGCCCTGAGCCGCCGTGAAGCTGGGCGGCGGGAGGCGCGCGCGCTGGCCAGGCCGGGGCTGTTGCACCTGGTCGGCGAGCGCGCCGGTCACTCTGCGGAGGGTTCAGGCCGCCGGGAGCCATCCACAGTGGCCACCAGCCCCGGGGCCCGGGGCATGGCGTGGCAGGACGTGCTGTCGGCGAATGTTCTTTTCGGTTTCTGGGGCCATGTCCTCACTCGCAACTGGTCTTGCTGCCTTCCCAGCCTCCAGGATGGAAAGAATTGGCCTCTGCATCCAATTTCCGTGGAAGTGGAGCCCTTGTTTTCTGGGCTGACTAAGAGGAACAAAGGCCCCTGGGGATATTCATTATGTTTTTTTGTTTGTTTTAGTTTTTCAGGCGTTGGCGGTCAGGTCCTCTCAGCGGGCGACAGGGTGGCGGGCCGGCCATTTCGTCTGAGGCCACCCTCTCTGCGGGATCGCACGTCTCCTACCCGGAGACACACACATGCACCCACGCACATCCGGCCTTGGTGGTGGTGTGGCGAGTACTGAGTGGTAGGTGAAGTCCCCAAGAAGACAGATTTTAGAAATATTTAAAAAGAAAGTGGTAGATCTCGGACTGAGCCCTGATTCCATGATTTGGAGAAACAGCCAGCTGGTTGATTTGAATCTGGAAATCCAGGCTTCTCTGTCCCTCACTGCGGAGCACAGCGGCTGCTCTTGTGGCTGCTGACCTTGCAGTCTCTGTGAACGGATAGCTTGATAAATATTGTTGAGAATGTTGCAGATTTCTCACTTCTGCAAATAGCTTCTCCATTTCTTTCCCTCCTGAATTATTGATCTCAGTGTCATCCTAACACATTTCGGACACCTACACACTGAATGGCCTGAGTCTAATGCGTGTATGTTTGTTTGTTTCTCAGTCCCTACCCCACGCACACGTGTTAAGCCACCTCCTGGCCCCACTGAACCTCATTCCGCTTCACCTTCACATGCAGCCCGTCAGCCCTTACTCTGGCCTCATCTGCTCTCCAGTGTAAGCTGGGCCCCTCCACCAGCCATCTGGGATTTGTTCCTGCCTGCACACCAGACATTCTGGCTCCCTGACATTCCACCCCTTGCCACTTGCCAGTTGTGCAACCAAGATCAATCCTGCTGCCTGCCTGCCCTGCTGCCTGCCTGCCCTGCTGCTGCTCATGGGGTGACAGCTCTCTGGGGGTTGCTATCATCACAAAACTAGCGGTCCAGCCTCCCATGCTCCTTTCCAGCAATCTGCTGTCAAGCACTAACTGCTACCTGCCTCTTCCCTCCCAGAACCTGATGGAACCATCCACCTACTCCCATCAGTTTCCCAGAAGACCCTTTGACATGCAGTTTCTTCCCCAAAGTGACAGGCCACCCTGCCCTAGAAATAGTGTGTCCACTACCCCTCTGAGGTTCTGCAAATGTTCTACCTTCTGGATTTGAAGTGAGTCACTTTTCCTACCCTGGCCCATTTCTGCTGTCTGTGGAGACATGGACAAATACAGATGGGTGGGTGAGAGGAAAAACAAAGTGAGGTTGAGGATTCCTGACTCAACACTGGTACCTAAACAATATAGTTTTCCACACTCAATATCTCTTCTCTCTCAAAAACAAGGTCCACATTTAAATTTTTCATTTCTCCTGCTCCTCAACTCTGATTCTTATTAACCTGTCCAACAAATTATTTTCTAATGTCACAGATTAAATAAGATAAATTATGTAAAGCATTTACATGCTGTTCGGCCATTAGTAAATACTTCATATACAGAAGCTGTTATTATTAGCTATTAATCTACCTGATTTACCAGTGAGTAAATAAACAGAGTCTAGGTTACCCCCTTTATTCTGATACTTTGTTGCATATCTAATGAGTTCAAAGGAGGATGAAATCATTATCTAGTAATTGGATATATTAAAAACAGTGTCTCTAGAAAGTAATAGCCTTTTAAAATGATGATAAAGAACCAATACTTGTTAGATGCACTAGATTGAATGCATCGGCTCTTCATTATTAAAAAAGTTGTATTTTTGAGTATTTTATTAGGGACCACCCCCTGAGAAAGCTGTGCTGTAAATATGTATACATAAGTAGCATACTTAGAGTTCAGGAATGATACTCTTATGGGAACACACCAAGTCTGAAGCCACAAGATAGACTCACCCAAAACTATCATGCCAGAATTTTGAAAAAGTGCCAGTTTTCCTCCGTTCTCATGCTTGCTGTCTCAAACGCCAAGTTGTCTTGTGGCTTGTCATGCCCTGCTATGCAGAAGTACCATGCCACACCCACATCCTAATAGAGGTCAGATGGGAGACGCCTGGGCATTTGCCTTGAAGAACTGTTTAATTGGAAACGCAACAGGCCACAGTGTGGTGTAGCGGGAGAGGAGGATTCCAGGTCTCCTGCTTGGGTTTGTACCCTTTCCTGGCCGTATCACTGGTGTCTGTGACCTCTCTCCTCTGAGCCTCAGTTTTCTCATCTGTAAAATAAGAACAATTCCTGAGCATTTGTTTTGTTTTATGAGAGGTAAAATGAGCCAAAGCATTTTAGGAACTACCACACAAATGGTATACCTGATGTTTATGAGTTATGACGATGATGATGGTGATGAGCACAGGCTGCTTTGTCCTGAGCTTGACCGGGCCATCAGAGCGGCTGCTTCTGTAGGTTTTCTTGCTCCTTCCAGTAAATTCCTTCAGAATGGGCCAAAGGGTATTTAAAATGCCAAAGCACATTTCACAGAACATTACTCTCTCAAGATTCTCTGTTTTCAAAAACATTGGGAAAACTCTTGGAGATGTCAGGGCACATGAGACCATGAATGGCTCTGAGAAGTAACATGCTGCAGGGGTGAGTCATTCCGCAATACACACCCCACCCCTGCATGTGTACTTACCACCAGCGGGTGTTCTGAGGTGCAGGGAAATGCACCAGGAGGACATGGGAGCTTGGTAGGGCAGCAGCCTGGTGGTGGTGACCTTGGTCCTGAACATCAACAAGCCACTGCCCAGGCAGGGCTGAACTTAGAGAGGGGCCAGGGTCCCATAGGC